TAAATTAACATTGGGAGACACTGTAGTGTAGTGGAGCATAACTAGCAATGGCCATTTAGGTTCAAATTTCATTTCATTTTGCTACCTAAATTCTTAGCTTAGTTTCTATATTTATAGAGTAGAAGACGCTTCAACAGCCTTCACAAGGGTAGTGTGGCAATTAAATATGGCAGTGTATCTAAAGGACTTAGCATTCACTATGTATTGACTAATTATTATGTCCTAGTATACGTGAGTACCATGACACATCATAGGATGGAAAATGTCCTAAATGCCTTGGCCAGCTACAGGGGATCCAGCACCATCTTCTAACCTCCATGCTCATACGTACACAAACCCACATGCATACAAACATATATACAAATAAATGAAAATAAATCTTTTAAAAAATGCTTTATTTTCAGGAATGGTGGCAAAAGTCTTCAATTCCAGTACTTGGGAGGCAGTGAGATCGAGGCCAGCCTGGTCTACATAGCAGAGTTCCAGGCCAGCTGGGGCTACAAAGAGACCCTGTGTCAAAAACAAAACAAAACAAAACAAGAATCTCAACTCTTTCTATGTACCTAATTATTCTAACATAGCCTAATGAGGATTTTTAAGTTGCATAGCATACTACTAGTAAGTATGAAACAATTTTAACTAGGAATCTGTAGCTTTATCATAACATTCTACTCTGAAAATACTGAATGTGTCCATGACATATATCTATGAAAATTATGCATCAAACAGAAGTTGGTTACCTCTCTTAATTTCTCTCTCTCACGCTCCCTCTCTGCAATACGTTTTCGCCTCTCTTCCTCTTCTTTAAGGGCATTCTGTGTTTCTGTTCTTAGTTTATCATCTTTAAGAATCTTCCGAATTTTCTTTCTGCCTTTTCCAGGTGACTTAGAATCATCATTTTCATCTTCCTCCTCCTCTTCCTCCTCTTCCTCTTCTTCTTTTCGTTCTTCTTCAGAATGGCTCTATGAAATTTAAATATAGAGAAAAGCATTAGAAAATTTTTAATTTACTCATTTCAAATTGTACTATTTAATGTGCAAACAAGTAGTAGAAGACAGGCTTTAGAATTGTATTTAAAAGTAAAGGAGTGCTGAGCATGGTCAAGGGCCTTTAATCCCAGCCCTCAAGGCCAGCCTGGTCCATACAGTGACTCCCAGCAGGCTGGGGCTAAGGAGACCTTGACAAAAAAAAAAAAAAAAAAAGAAGAAGAAGAAGGGAAAAAAAAACTAACAACAAAAGCAGTGTTAAATAAAACACAATTTAAAATGGCAAAGGTGACCAAGCATGGTGGCACTCGCCTTTAATCACAGCACTTGAAAGGCAGAGGTAGGTAGATCTCTGAGTTCTAGGCCAGCCTGGTCTATACACCAGGTTTCACACCAGCAAGGACAACACAGTGAGAATCTGTCTCAAAGAAAGAAAAAAGGGGGGTGGGGGGTAATCAAGGCAGAAGAATAGAATAGATTTCTTTTTAAAATGTACACAAATGGCTAATAAGAACATGAAAATATGCCTAACCATACAGGTCACAGGAAAAAAAATGAAAACCACTTTAAGATACCATTTTACACTCATTATATGGCAATTATTAAATAACTAAGGTAAATAAAGTAAATGTTAGCAAGCATGTGCAGGATTTGAAACACTGGTTCTGTGCTTATAGGAGTCAAATGATATTACCAATATTGAAAGTGTGTAGACATTTCTCAAAAAAATTAACATATAATTATTCTATGATCCAGCAATTACACTATTATATACATACCAAAAACAATTAAAAGCAGGCGCTCTAACGGGTATTTGGCAGTCATGTTTATAACACCTTTCAAAATAGTTAAAAAGAAATAATCCATGCCTATCAACAGATGAATGAGTAACAAAATGTGATACAGACATGCAATGCTTTATTGGAGATGTAAAAAGAATGCAATTCTAGGGCTGGAGAGATGACTCAGTGGTTAAGAGTATGGGCTGCTCTTCCAGAGGACCTGGGTTTGGTTTCCAGCACCTATATGGCAGTTAACAACCATCAGTTACTCCAGTTCCAGGGGATCCAATACCTTCTTCTGGCATCAAGGGGTATCAGGCATACATGTAGCAAATTTACATACATACAGACAAAACACTCATACACACAAAATAAAAATGAATAAAAACTTTAAAAAATAAAATTTAAAGAGATTCCTTACACAACTGTAAAATTTTAATGAGAAAATGCGATTCATGAATGCAACATAGAGAGGCAACAGTGACTTTCCTATAGAGCATCATACTGCGTGCCTGCTACAGTTCAAGTAAGCAATGTCAGTCTTACCTTATTTTCACTAGATGAATCTTCTTGAACCTTTATGCGTCGTCTTTTCTTTTTCTGTTTGTAACTCCGCTGATTTTCTTCCAATTCTGCTTTCTTTGCAGACCTGAAGAAAAACGTAAGTGCAAAATAAAAAAGTTCATGATGACCTTCCTTCAATGAATTATGTACTATTTTGGAAATGGTACATATTTAGGAAATATTCAGTAGGTTTAAAATGGATATGCCAACATAAACTCCTAATTTTAATGCAATAGCCAACCGTTTATGATATCCACAGGGAAGATTTGGTATATGAGTACTAAGACTAATGAAATGATTTTAGGACTGTTTTTCTGATAAGAAATGCAATACCAAAGGAAGAAATACATTTTCTACAAATAACGCACACCAATGCATAACCACTATTTCAAAAAGCAGATTACAAAAGTTAGATTCTATTTCTTCCATAACAGGTCACAGAAATTTTTTAAAAGGAGGAATAAATCTTAGAGAGAAATGTATTTGGGGGCTTAGAAACTGGTACGCAGAGTCACGTTAATCTAGACCTAAACAATAAATAAACTCAGAAAATAACAAGTACTAGGTCAAAATGGTGTAAAGAGGAACCTTTGAGTAGTAATGGTAGAAACAGGAATTTGAACACAAGTGTTTTCACCATGTTCACATTAGTAGTATTCACAGTAGCCAAAAGAAAGAAGCTAACTGTCCATAAATGGATGAATCAACAAAAAGTTTGATAAAGACACACAATGGGACACTTTGCTGCCTTGAAAAAAAATTCTGATATATTAAGCTACAGCGCATTCCTGAAGACATAATGGTAAATCAAATAAGGGAGTCACAAAATGGCAAATATTATATGGTTCCATTTCTGGTAGGTACCTAGAATAATCAAATTCATAGAAAAAGAAAGATGGTAGATGACAGGGGCTGTGGAAAACGAACAAAGAGAAATTACTGTTTAATGAGTATAGCTCCACTTTCATAAGATAAAACTGCTTTGACAGTTTTCATGTTCTGACAGTGGTTGCCAAAAAAGTCAATGTTATTAACACTATCAAGCTATATACTTTAAAATGGTTAAGAAGGGGCTGGAGGGAAGATGGCTCAGTGCTTAACAGCACTGGCTGCTATTCCAAAGGACAGGCTTCAATTCCCAGCAGACACATGGTGGCTAAAAAAAATCTGTAACTACAGTTCAAAGGGATCCAACACCCTCTTCTGTCCTCCACGGGCATTGTGTGCACATGGTGCACTTACATACATGTAGGCACAACACTCATACACATAAAATAAAAATAAATAATAAACACAATTTTTAAAAAATAGTTCGGGGCTGGAGAAAAGGCTCAGCAGTAAAGAGCACTGACTGTTCTTGCAAAGGACCTGGGTTCAGTTCCCAGTACCCACATAATGGCTAACAACCCTCCATAACTCCAGTTCCAGGGGACCCAACACCCTCTGCTGGCCTCCAGGGGCACTGCATGCACACGGTGCACTTAAATATATGCAGGCAAAACACTCATATACATAAAAATAAGTAAATAGTCCTCTGCTTCCATGGGTCTGCACAACCCACAGGCCTCTCTCCAACCCACAGGCCTCTCTCTATGGGTAAGACAATCGGGCCCTCCACACCTTGACTCCCCCACCCTCATTCACCCTCCCATCTCCCCCACCGATCTCTACTCCTAGTCCCATTCCTTGTCATGACGCCCCAGACACCTGGAGAACCACCACTGCTTCCTGATCCTTCGCATCCAGATGAACCCAGTTCCTTCTCAGGTCCCCAGGAGAACTCTGGGCCTGGCACAGCCCTCACCTCCCTCTGCTTCAGTGGTCCTGGACCATACGCAGCCCTCTCTCCGACCCACAGGCTTCTCTCCAACCTGCAGGCCTCTCTTTGAACCACACACCTCTCCCAGGATAAGTCGATTGTGCCCTCCATGCCTTGACACCCCCAGCCTCATTCACCCACCCATCTACGCCACCCTTCTCTCCTCCTACACTGAGCCCTGTCCCATTCCTTGTCTTGGCACCCCAGACACCTGGGGAACCACCACTGCTTCCTGACCCATTGCATCCAGACCAAACCAGCTCCTTCTTGGATCCCCAGGAGCACTCTGAGCCTGGCCCGCACTTCACCTCCCTTTACATCCCTGGGCCTGCATGACCCACCAGACTCTGTCCTGGACACCAGGGCTGACATTTCTTCTTCCTGATCCTTTGCATCCAGACCAACCCAACTCCTCAGTGCAGTCCCCAGGAGCCGTTGGGGCCGCTTCCCGCCCCCATCTTCCTTTTCATCTCTAGGTGAGACGGCCAACAGCTACCCTAGAGCAGCATCTTTCCTGGACCCGGCACACAGGCCAGTCCAACCCCCAAATTCCTGAAGCCAAAATCTTTCTAGGAGGAATCCAAACCTAAGGAGAAAGCCTGAGAGCATCTGATCCTCATCTGACTTGGGCCTCTGTGGGAACTCCTAAAGACAAAAGCAGTCTGGCCACTCCAATGTAAAATCAAAAGAGAGAACCATAAGCTTAGAGGAACCAGCTTTTCATGTCCCAAAAGGAAACCACAAAGAGAAAGTTTACAAAAAGAAGACCTGAACTTAAAGGGTTGAGTCTCACACAAGAAACAGAAACTACAAAAGAAATTCACATGTCAAAATCACAGAGAAAAAATTAATAACATGAAAAAAAAAATAAGCATATCCCCACCAAATATCATTAGTCCTCTAGAAGAGTACAATGAGAACCCACAGAGATAATGCAGGACATGGAACTCAAAAGAACAATTATAAACATGATAAAAGAATTCAGTGAATTTAAAGAACACACAAAAAAAA